TGGCGACTAAACAAAAGTTACCTACCCAACTTTCTGTGGCGACTAAACAAAAGTTACCTACCCAACTTCCTGTGGCGATTAAACAAAAGTTACCTACCCAACTTTCTGTGGCGACTAAACAAAAGTTACCTACCCAACTTTCTGTGGCGACTAAACAAAAGTTACCTACCCAACTTTCTGTGGCGACTAAAAAAAAGTTACCTACCCAACTTTCTGTGGCGACTAAACAAAAGTTACCTACCCAACTTTCTGTGGCGACTAAACAAAAGTTACTTACCCAACTTTCTGTGGCGACTAAACAAAAGTTACTTACCCAACTTTCTGTGGCGACTAAAATTACCTACCCAACTTTCTGTGGCGACTAAACAAAAGTTACCTACCCAACTTTCTGTGGCGACTAAACAAAAGTTACCTACCCAACTTTCTGTGGCGACTAAACAAAAGTTACCTACCCAACTTTCTGTGGCGACTAAACAAAAGTTACCTACCCAACTTTCTGTGGCGACTCGGGCACTACTGTAAGTGGCCTCTGTGGCGAGTAAGCAAAGGGTCCTTCGTTAGCAAAACACCCAACATCCGGGTAGCAAGCGACCTCTCCTGTGGAAAAAAAGTGTTTTACATTTCTATGATTTAATGTCGATAATATAGGGCCATTGGAAAGTTAATTAAGATCTCTAATTAGAATAAATTTATTTCAACATTTCTTTAACCAAAGTTTTAATTCAATAAAACAAAAAATGTAATTATAAAAAGAAAAGTTGCCCCACGTTTGTTGATGTTTGCCGTGTAGACGGCCCCAGAGAGGAGCGCGAGACAGACCAAGAGAGACAACTCCATGACTTCCAGACTCAGTCCAACACAACCAAGGTAGCTAACTCTAGGTCGGACCAGCAGAGCTAGAGCTGACTTATCTCTGGCGTCAACTGGTTTTATACGGCACACTGAGAACTGTTACAGAGGTCAGGGGTGTGTAATATTCTCACAGTGATCAGGGGTGTGTACATATTCTCACAGTGGTCAGGGGCGTGTACATATTCTCACAGTGGTCAGGGGCGTGTACATATTCTCACAGCGTTCAGGGGCGTGCAGTAAATTATTTCACCTCTAAAAATTGCACCGAAAGTCTAACTTTACACAAGGACTGCGTGGTGGAATAGATCCCGGTCTCTCGTCTCTGGGTAGTCCGTGAGTTAATGCAGCTTTGATGGGTACCCTTCTCACGTTAGTCCGTGAGTTAATGCAGCTCTGGTGGGTACCCTTCTCACGTTAATCTGTGAGTCAATGCAGCTCTGATGGGTACCCTTCTCACGTTAGTCCGTGAATTAATTCAGCTCTGATGGGTACCCTTCTCACGTTAATCTGTGAGTCAATGCAGCTCTGATGGGTACCCTTCTCACGTTAATCTGTGAGTCAATGCAGCTCTGATGGGTACCCTTCTCACGTTAGTCCGTGAATTAATTCAGCTCTGATGGGTACCCTTCTCACGTTAATCTGTGAGTCAATGCAGCTCTGATGGGTACCCTTCTCACGTTAGTCAAGTGACCACACAGATCTCGAGGTCACGAGGTTAGCTATAATGGACACACCTCAATGGACTGTAAACTTGGAAATAATACCTTTTTTTTATGGTACGCAAAAAATCGGTAGTGCTTCATTCGGCGAACAGTTTGAGAAAACGCAACTTGCTTAGATCCGGTCGATGATTGATACATATATCCCCCCTAGGTTGGGAGGAAATAAGCACAGTGTTATTTACTCGACGACTTGTGAGAGAATATAAACACCTTGCGTATTTCCTCTACAGTATGAAGAAATTGTTTGAAGAAAAACAAAAACACTTCTTCATAAAATGTAGTCTAGATGGTCATACGTGAACAGATACCCATTCCATTAATTTAGTTATAATTCTGAATATTTTCTCTGAAAATAAAATCCATTATTATTTTACTAGACTACCCTTAAGCCTTACCCTTAACCCTAAACCCCTAACCTTAAGTAAGATATAATGATAAAAAAATGTATAATATGAATGTCATGTGCAGAGGCGTAGCGAGGGGGGTGGGGGACATATGTCCCCGGGCGCCGACCTTAGGGGGCGCCAAAATGGGTTGGAAAAATAAATTGAAAGCTTGAAGGGGGGTGCAAATCGAAAGTCTGGGGGGGGGGGGGTACAAATAGAAAGTTTGTCCCCGGGCGCCAGGAAGGGTCGCTACGCCTCTGGCCATGTGTACTAATTCCAAAACATAACACACTGTGACAGGTTTCGAACTTATATTTGATAGCCGCCACAATATCTATTCTGCCAAGGAGAGCTTAAATTAAACAATATATTAAATAAAACAAACTTCTCTGACAATTATAAATATACACACTTCCGTTCAAATACTCTATCAATATATTAGCCTAAAACTAGAAGATAAATATAGCGGCAACATGTGAGAGGAAATCTTCGGTCTTTGGCTGATAAAAGCACTCCCTAAAAAATCTAACTTTACTCCTAAAAATAGTTCTAAAAGTCGATAAAACTTTAACAAAACGTCTAGCGTCACATGTCATTTTGGATAACTCTTATTGTCAACCACACTAGAGCTTCTTTCTCCATGTTGGTGCTTTTTTGTACAAGCATTTCTAGCTGGTTATGTAAGCTTTGTGTGAAATGGCTAATAGCTTTTTGTACAAGGTTTTCTAGCTAGTTATGTAAGCTTTGTGTGAAATGGCTAATAGCTACAGCTATGTAAGTTTTGTGTGAAAGGGCTAATAGCTACAGCTATGTAAGCTTTGTGTGAAATGGCTAATAGCTACAGCTATGTAAGTTTTGTGTGAAAGGGCTAACAGCTACAGCTATGTAAGCTTTGTGTCAAAGGGCTAATAGCTACAGCTATGTAAAGTTGGTGTGAAAGGGCTAATAGTTATAGCTATGTAAGCTTTGTGTCAAAGAATAGCAACCGTTATGTAAGCTTTGTATGGAAGGGCTAATAGCTACCGTTATGTACTTTGTCTATGACTGTAAAAAAAATCTCATCTAATCAATACTGAACCACATTCCGGACAAACATTTCGACAAACTCCGTCTACAATTGAGTTCAATGTCATTGTCACGGAACTACAAACAAAATGTTTTTAGAAATTTAAATGTAACGTTATTATGTAGCTTTATAGGTAAAAAATAATGCTAACGTATTTTAGACTCAAACATAATTCAAAACATAATGTGGGCATATGGGAACGACTATTAAAATATATTGATTAAAATAATAATTAGTAAAGTGTAAATTTAGAATATAAAATAAATGAAGGTAGATTTGTTTTACCTACTACATTGCACTTTATCAAGGCTTGGGCATTGTACGAGAACAATTGTACTCTAGGTAGTGAGTGGCCAGGGGTTGTACACTAGGTTGTGAGTGGCCAGGGGTTGTACTCTAGGTTGTGAGTGGCCAGGGGTTGTACTCTAGGTTGTGAGTGGCCAGTGGTTGTACACTAGGTTGTGAGTGGCCAGTGGTTGTACACTAGGTTGTGAGTGGCCAGGGGTTGTACACTAGGTTGTGAGTGGCCAGTGGTTGTACTCTAGGTTGTGAGTGGCCAGTGGTTGTACACTAGGTTGTGAGTGGCCAGTGGTTGTACACTAGGTTGTGAGTGGCCAGGGGTTGTACACTAGGTTGTGAGTGGCCAGTGGTTGTACACTAGGTTGTGAGTGGCCAGGGGTTATATACTAGGTTGTGAGTGACCAGGGGTTGTACACTAGGTTGTCAGTGGCCAGGGGTTGTACGAGAATACTAGGCTGTGAGTGGCCAGGGGTTGTACACTGTTACGTCCGGGTTAGATTCGAATTCAAGAACGACTCGGGTTAACGTTCGATACGTTTATTAGGTCTCACATATCACAATACAACATAGCCCTCGACCTAACCCTGCCAACTAACTAACCCCTGACAACCATTCACTCCAGCTTTTATACGCATTCGACCTTGGGATAACAATACACAAACACACCGGGGTTAACAATATTCTAGGGTAAACTCAACTCACACACTCACTCTCCCCTAATTCTAGATCATTCTATCCTATTCTAGTCTAACCTACAACTGACCCGTAACACTACCCCCCACCCAAGTATTTGTAGTACATACTACAAATACTAACTAAATCCCCAAATCCTAAGTTAACCTAGAGGGCGAAAACAAACAAATCTGTGGTTTAAATTACAATTTACATCTCAGACTCCCGATCTAAAATTTCTTGACAAAAAATCAGCTAGAAGATTATCCCTCCCCGGAATGTGTTCTATAGTAAATTTATATTCCTGTAGCAGTAAGGACCAGCGTGTCAGTCTGGCATTATTGAACCTACATTTATGAAGGTATTTTAGAGCACGCTGGTCCGTCTGCAGTACAAAGCTAGCGTTGTATAAATACAACGCTAGTTTGCCTGTGGCCCAGACAATTGCTAGGCACTCTCTTTCTATAGTAGAGTACCGAGTCTCTCTCCGTTGGAGTTTTCTACTGATGTATTTTACTGGTCTTAGGACCCCATTTCTCATTTGCATCAAGGCTGCCCCGATACCTCGTGACGAGGCGTCGGTCCTGAGGATAAATTGCTCATTAATATTAGGTAAAATAAGAAATGGTTCTGAGTTCAAGTGTTTCTGGACCAGTCTTAAAGCACGGTTACATTCATCTGACCACACGACCTTTTCAGGTTTACCCTTTGCTAACAAGTCTGTCAGTATTGCGTTAGCCTCGCTGAATTCTGGTATAAATTTAGCATAATACCCTATAAGACCCACTAATGATCTTACATCTTTCTTTGTGGTGGGTATTGCTACGTTTAAGATTTTGTTTACCTTGTGAGTGTTACACACATGCTGAAGAAGTCATCCAGAAAACAAGCCATTCTCTAGGCTCTTTGTTCAGTATGAACAGTCGCCATCTAAATGTTTCTACACAATGGGTTTTTGTCCTGGGGGCTTATGTCCTGGGGTTTGTACAAAAGGGTTTATCTCTAAGTTGTTTTTGTGTATGGGGTTTCTGTATAGGGGTTTGTGTCCTGTGGGTTTGTGTCCTGTAGGTTTGTGTCCTGTAGGTTTGTGTCCTGTAGGTTTGTGCCCTGTAGGTTTGTGTCCTGTAGGTTTGTGTCCTGTAGGTTTGTGTCCTGTGGGTTTGTGTCCTGTAGGTTTGTGTCCTGTAGGTTTCTGTATAGGGGTTTGTGTCCTGTGGGTTTGTGTCCTGTAGGTTTGTGTCCTGTGGGTTTGTGTCCTGTAGGTTTGTGTCCTGTAGGTTTCTGTATAGGGGTTTGTGTCCTGTGGGTTTGTGTCCTGTAGGTTTGTGTCCTGTAGGTTTGTGCCCTGTGGGTTTGTGTCCTGTAGGTTTGTGTCCTGTGGGTTTGTGTCCTGTAGGTTTCTGTATAGGGGTTTGTGTCCTGTGGTTTTGTGTCCTGTAGGTTTCTGTATAGGGGTTTGTGTCCTGTAGGTTTCTGTATAGGGGTTTGTGTCCTGTAGGTTTCTGTATAGGGGTTTGTGTCCTGTGGGTTTGTGTCCTGTAGGTTTGTGTCCTGTGGGTTTGTGTCCTGTGGGTTTCTGTATAGGGGTTTGTGTCCTGTAGGTTTCTGTATAGGGGTTTGTGTCCTGTAGGTTTCTGTATAGGGGTTTGTGTCCTGTAGGTTTCTGTATAGGGGTTTGTGTCCTGTAGGTTTCTGTATAGGGGTTTGTGTCCTGTAGGTTTGTGTCCTGTAGGTTTGTGTCCTGTGGGTTTGTGTCCTGTAGGTTTCTGTATAGGGGTTTGTGTCCTGTAGGTTTGTGTCCTGTAGGTTTGTGTCCTGTAGGTTTGTGTCCTGTGGGTTTGTGTCCTGTGGGTTTGTGTCCTGTGGGTTTGTGTCCTGTGGGTTTGTGTCCTGTGGGTTTGTGTCCTGTAGGTTTCTGTATAGGGGTTTGTGTCCTGTAGGTTTGTGTCCTGTAGGTTTGTGTCCTGTAGGTTTGTGTCCTGTAGGTTTGTGTCCTGTGGGTTTGTGTCCTGTAGGTTTGTGTCCTGTGGGTTTGTGTCCTGTGGGTTTGTGTCCTGTGGGTTTGTGTCCTGTGGGTTTGTGTCCTCTAGGTTTCTGTATAGGGGTTTGTGTCCTGTAGGTTTCTGTATAGGGGTTTGTGTCCTGTGGTTTTGTGTCCTGTGGGTTTGTGTCCTGTAGGTTTCTGTATAGGGGTTTGTGTCCTGTGGGTTTGTGTCCTGTGCGTGTGCGTCAAGGTTGCTTGTGGCTAAGGTTATTGTATAGGGATAATTTTGTCAATGAACGTAAAGTTTTAGATATATTTATACTTGAACTATACTATTTAAATTCTAGATAAATTTTGTATACTGAAGCTGTACTTATACAATCGTATATATTTGTTCTGAATCTGTACTAAGATAGTGATCAAGAGAGACAACTCTCCTAACATTCCTGGACACAGATCAGTATATAATATTTGCTATCAGTTGTGGTTGTGCAGGAACTGGCCCAAGTTTGCTGGCAACAGTCTCACTAAGCCTAGGGTCAGCAATGGATGTCTGGTGGTTTCTGCTTTTCTCTGCCGTGGTCTGTGAAGAGCTGAAGGCTGACACACAGGGAAAACGCAAGTATTTTACTCACATCTGACACGTGTGGCTGTGTGCCTGGCGTCGTGTGGCTTGCGGTCACTGATTGTTAAAATACTTCTATCTGTTCAATATCTATCCAGCAGCTCAAAAGAATGAATAAAACATTTTGTTTTGTAAAACTCGACCAGGAGAAGTTGCCTGCTATGACCAACTAGGATGTTTCGCCGCAGAAGGACCGTTTGGCTACAGCCCACAACGGCCGCTAACGGTGACGCCTGAGGACCCAGCTAAAATAGGGTGAGTCAGACTGTTAAATGCTGTTTCCGGCTGTTAAAGGCTGTTTCCGGCTGTTAAAGGCTGTTTCCAGCTGCTAAAGGCGGTTGTCATTATTATGTCTTCTGCCAGAGGGCCAATAACTGCATCTCTCTGTTGCATAATGAGCAGAGCAGCTGGGGTCAAAGGTCAATGCCAGCTTGAACTAAAGAAAGTTTTCTACAACCTGTTGGCATGGACTAGTTTGTTCACGTTGACAACCTGTTGGCATGGGCTAGTTTGTTCACGTTGACAACCTGTTGACATGGACTAGTTTGTTCACGTTGACAACCTGTTGACATGGACTAGTTTGTTCACGTTGACAACCTGTTGGCATGGACTAGTTTGTTCACGTTGACAACCTGTTGGCATGGACTAGTTTGTTCACGTTGACAACCTGTTGGCATGGGCTAGTTTGTTCACGTTGACAACCTGTTGGCATGGACTAGTTTGTTCACGTTGACAACCTGTTGGCATGGACTAGTTTGTTCACGTTGACAACCTGTTGGCATGGACTAGTTTGTTCACGTTGACAACCTGTTGGCATGGACTAGTTTGTTCACGTTGACAAACTGTTGGCATGGACTAGTTTGTTCACGTTGACAACCTGTTGGCATGGGCTAGTTTGTTCACGTTGACAACCTGTTGGCATGGACTAGTTTGTTCACGTTGACAACCTGTTGGCATGGACTAGTTTGTTCACGTTGACAACCTGTTGGCATGGACTAGTTTGTTCACGTTGACAACCTGTTGGCATGGACTAGTTTGTTCACGTTGACAACCTGTTGGCATGGGCTAGTTTGTTCACGTTGACAACCTGTTGGCATGGGCTAGTTTGTTCACGTTGACAACCTGTTGGCATGGAATAGTTTGTTCACGTTGACAACCTGTTAGCATGGACTAGTTTGTTCACGTTGACAACCTGTTGACATGGACTAGTTTGTTCATGTTGACAACCTGTTAGCATGGACTAGTTTGTTCACGTTGACAACCTGTTGGCATGGACTAGTTTGTTCTCGTTGACAACATGTTAGCATGGACTAGTTTGTTCACGTTGACAACCTGTTGGCATGGACTAGTTTGTTCACGTTGACAAACTGTTGGCATGGACTAGTTTGTTCACGTTGACAACCTGTTGGCATGGACTAGTTTGTTCACGTTGACAACCTGTTGGCATGGACTAGTTTGTTCACGTTGACAACCTGTTGGCATGAACTAGTTTGTTCACGTTGACAACCTGTTGGCATGAACTAGTTTGTTCACGTTGACAACCTGTTGGCATGAACTAGTTTGTTCACGTTGACAACCTGTTGGCATGAACTAGTTTGTTCACGTTGACAACCTGTTGGCATGAACTTTTATGTTCACGTAGACAACCTGTTGGCATGGACTAGTTTGTTCACGTTGACAACCTGTTAGCATGGGCTAGTTTGTTTACGTTGACAACCTGTTGGCATGGGCTAGTTTGTTCACGTTGACAACCTGTTGGCATGAACTTTTATGTTCACGTAGACAACCTGTTGGCATGGACTAGTTTGTTCACGTTGACAACCTGTTAGCATGGGCTAGTTTGTTTACGTTGACAACCTGTTGACATGGACTAGTTTGTTCACGTTAACAGATACAACACGCCCTTACTGAAACAAATTTAGTTACCTTGAACACCTTGATACTTCGATATGTTTTTTTCTACAGAACAATATTCAAATTGTATACCCGGGATGGTCTGACGTCATCATTAGACCTCCAGGCCACCAGTCTCGACACACTGACCTCGGTCTGGCCCCAGTTTATCGTCAGGCCAACCAAGATTTTGGCCCACGGGTTTTTAGACAACATCTCGGAAACTCCTTACCAGAAGGTCATCGAATCTTGAACTTGTTTAGTTAGACAAAGCTAATTATGTTTTAATTAGACAATGCTAATTATGTTGTTGTTAGACAACGCTAATTAAAACAGGTTGTAGTTAGATAAAGTCAATTCAAACAGGTTGTAGTTAGATAAATTTAATTAAGATATGTGGTAGTTAGACACAGTTAATTAAAAGATGTTGTAGTTAGACAAAGCAAATTAAAAGATACAAAGTTAGGTCGAAATGTCTGTTGTCAAAACTCAAAGTCGGGATTTAAACTGTCATATGATTGCTTGCTTTCAAATATTACCCAGTTATTTAGCACTTAGATATTATAGTACTCAGTTATTTAGCACTTAGATATTATAGTACTCAGTTTTTTAGCAATTATACACTATAGTACTCAGTTATTTAGCACTATTGTAGTACTCGTTTATTTAGCTCTTAGATATTGTTGTACTCAGTATTTTAGCACTTAGATATTATAGTAAATAAATGATACAGTACCCAGTTGTTAAACTACTTAGATTTGACCATAAACTAGATATTATAGTACCATTAGAAACTTGATAAAGCCCTTTAAACATTCAAGTGTGGTTGATTTTGGGTATATATTGGTTAAACAAAGGTTTAGTTTAGTTAAACTGGTTTAGATTAGTTAAACAGGTTTAGATTAGTTAAACAAAGGTTTAAATTAGCTAAACATGTTTAGATTAGTTAAACTCAGGTTTATATCTGCTAAACTCAGGTTTAAATAAATGACTCCAACTAATATTTCTTTAAATTGACCAGGACTTAAAAGACGAGCTGTTAAAGTATGGCGACTTCAATGTTATCATTGTTGACTGGGCTAAGGGCAACAGACCCCCATACACGCAAGCTACGGCTAACACAAGAATTGTTGGAGCGCAGATAGCTTTGTTGGTTAATCAGCTGATCGTAAGTCATGCAACCTTGTTGATTCATTGCTGTTGATGTTTAGACATCTTTAAAAGCACCAAGTTTTTGTAGAGTGGGTCCGGTAAGATATTGGATTTATCCCAGAGGCATAGCGAGGGAGGGGGGGGGGCGGGGGTGCGGACCGCACCGGGTGAAACCATTTAGGGGGGATGACACTAAGGCAAAAAATAGCAAAATATATAGAGAGAAACTTGAGAGGGGGGGGGTGCAAATCAAAAGTTTGAGGGGGGGGGGGTGCAAATCGAAAACTTGAGGGGGGTGGGGGTGCAAATCGAAAACGAGTGCCGCACCGGGTGATACCCGACCTCGATACGCCACTGATTTATCCATCTACAGTCACACCTGTCCCGATTTCTATTCTAGAGAACTTCAAACATGTCGGCAGCAGATTTCCATTTGATTGGCCACAGTCTAGGGGCTCATATCTGTGGGTACGCCGGAGAGAGAATACCGGGATTAGGGAGAATCTCTGGTAATGTCTGCACACACACACACAAACACACACACACACACACACATACACACACACACACACACACACACACACACACACACATACACACACATACACACACACACTTACACACACACACACACATATATATATATATATATATATATATATATATATATGTATATATACATGTATCACTTGAAATGAACAGGAATAGATCCTGCCGGTCCATACTTTGAGAATACCGATCCGGCAGTCCGGCTCGACCCTACCGATGCGCTTTACGTGGATGCCATACACACTGACGGTGAAACATTACTAGAACTGGGTGAGATAGCACTCATTTCACTAATTTAGTTGGCTTAAGCAAGAGCAAGCTAGATGGCCCACTCAATCACCCAACTGGGGTTGTCATAAAAAATTATACAAGCAGGAGAATAATTTTTTAAGTTAAAAGATTCAGTTACCATATTGTGATCAACCATTAACGTTTTATAAATAAAATCTAAGGACTATAACGTGCAACTGTTAAAACACTTCCATAGCATTAGGAATGAAGGCGTCTGTAGGTCATGTTGACTTTTACCCAAATCTCGGCCATGACCAGCCTGGGTGTAACAGAAATCCTTTCAAGCAGATCTCTGAGTGGGGCATTACACAAGGTTAGTCACGTGCTATGGTGTGTGTGAATGTGTGTGTGTGTGGGTGTGTGTGGGGCATCACACAAGGTTAGTCACGTGCTCTGGTGTGTGTGAATGTGTGTGTGTGTGTGGGGGGCATCACACAAGGTTAGTCACGTGCTCTGGTGTGTGTGTGTGTGAATGTGTGTGTGTGTGGGGGCATCACACAAGGTTAGTCACGTGCTCTGGTGTGTGTGTGAATGTGTGTGTGTGTGTGGGGCATCACACAAGGTTAGTCACGTGCTCTGGTGTGTGTGTGAATGTGTGTGTGTGTGTGGGGCATCACACAAGGTTAGTCACGTGCTCTGGTGTGTGTGAATGTGTGTGTGTGTGTGGGGGGCATCACACAAGGTTAGTCACGTGCTCTGGTGTGTGTGTGAATGTGTGTGGGTGTGTGGGGGGCATCACACAAGGTTAGTCACGTGCTCTGGTGTGTGTGTGAATGTGTGTGGGTGTGTGTGGGGCATCACACAAGGTTAGTCACGTGCTCTGGTGTGTGTGTGTGTGTGTGAATGTGTGTGTGTGGGGGGCATCACACAAGGTTAGTCACGTGCTCTGGTGTGTGTGTGTGTGAATGTGTGTGTGTGGGGGGCATCACACAAGGTTAGTCACGTGCTCTGGTGTGTGTGTGAATGTGTGTGTGTGTGTGGGGGGGCATCACACAAGGTTAGTCATGTGCTCTGGTGTGTGTGAATGTGTGTGTGTGGGGGGGGCATCACACAAGGTTAGTCACGTGCTCTGGTGTGTGTGTGTGAGTTGTGTGTGTGTGTGGGGCATCACACAAGGTTAATCACGTGCTCTGGTGTGTGTGAATATGTGTGTTTGTGTGTATGTATGTTCGTACCTCAGTTGTAGACATAAATTATACTCTTATATTGAACGATAAAGAAAAGACAACGATATTCCCCAGGCTCAGTGGAACTCCTGATATGTAATCATATGAGAGCCTTCCATTACTTTGTTGAAAGCATCAACTCCAAGTGTCCTTTTTTAGGTTTTCCTTGCGACAATGAAGATGACTATAAAGTATGTCTACTTGTTATTGTTTTGCCTTTAACAATTATGTAATTATACCAAGATTCGTTCCAATGGTCGATTAATTGTGTCTAATGTATTTTTAGAACGGTCGATGTGACGAGTGTGGACCAGATGGATGTATCAGAATGGGTTACCATGCCGACCAGAACAAGCCAACCAATGGGAGAACGACACGTGTCTACATGACCACAGCCAACAAGCAGCCATTTTGTGGTCAGTTCTTGTGCCTAACCATTTAGTGATTTGTTTTAAGCTCTCGCGTGATAAACTAGTGTTGTCACACACACACGGGGTCATCCATAAATGACGTCACGCTTTTTTGACGATTTTAACATCAAACGTTAAGAATACCACTTAGATGTGACATATACAACATCCTGTTTTTAGAATAACACTTAGATGTGACTGATATAAGATCCTGTTTTTAGAATACCACCTAGATGTGACTGATATAAGATCCTGTTTTTAGAATACCACCTAGATGTGACTGATATAAGATCGTGTTTTTAGAATACCACCTAGATGTGACTGATATTAGATCCTGTTTTTAGAATACCACCTAGATGTGACTGATATAAGATCCTGTTTTTAGAGTACCACCTAGATGTGACTGATATAAGATCGTGTTTTTAGAATACCACCTAGATGTGACTGATATAAGATCGTGTTTTTAGAGTACCACCTAGATGTGACTGATATAAGATCCTGTTTTTAGAATACCACCTAGATGTGACTGATATTAGATCGTGTTTTTAGAATACCACCTAGATGTGACTGATATAAGATCGTGTTTTTAGAATACCACCTAGATGTGACTGATATAATATCCTGTTTTTAGAATACCACCTAGATGTGACTGATATAAGATCGTGTTTTTAGAATACCACCTAGATGTGACTGATATAAGATCGTGTTTTTAGAATACCACCTAGATGTGACTGATATAAGATAGTGTTTTTAGAATACCACCTAGATGTGTCTGTGAAAATAAGCGCTACTCAGGGCCAAGAGGAGAGAGGAGAATTGACTGCTCTAATTTCTGGAGAAAATGGAATCATTGGACCTTTTCTGCTCAACCCAGTGTGAGTACTTCTAGCTGTACAAGAGCACGTGGTCAGCTCGTTTAACCCAATTTATTGGATAAGGTCAGTACTGGGTTAACTCTTGTCATTTCTCCCACTGGTTTCAGCCCGGTCAACTTCCAGCTGAGTGACGTGCACACGTTTCACGTGCACACTAGCACTGACGTCGGGAATATCCGCACCGTGACCTTGTCGTTCCAGCAGATGTTTGAACTGCTGGACCCTCTACACTGGAACCTGTTCGGTCTCCGGCAGCCAAAAATTGTTGTGGACGAGATCAGCGTCAGCCGTCTGGAGGCCAAAACTGAGTACAGTAGTTTTGTTCTGGCTAGTGGAGTCACTGGTGTAAGGTCTTATGGCTAGTGGAGTCACTGGTGTAAGGTCTAATGGCTAGTGGAGTCACTGGTGTAAGGTCGTATACTAGTGGAGTCACTGGTGTAAGGTCTTATGGCTAGTGGAGTCACTGGTGTAAGGTCGCATACTAGTGGAGTCATTGGTGTAAGGTCGTATACTAGTGGAGTCACTGGTGTAAGGTCTTATGGCTAGTGGAGTCATTGGTGTAGAGTCTTATAGCTAGTGGAGTCACTGGTGTAAGGTCTAATGGCTAGTGGAGTCACTGGTGTAAGCTCTTATGTCTAGTGGAGTATGTAGTGTAAGGTCGTATACTAGTGGAGTCGTTGGTGTTAGGAATTCTGACTAGTGGAGTCATTGGTGTTAGGTCTTATGGCTAGTGGAGTCACTGCTGTAGAGTTTTATGGCTAGTGGAGCCACTGGTGTAAGGTCTTATTGCTAGTGGAGTCACTGGTGTAAGGTCTTATTGCTAGTGGAGTCACTGTTGTAAGGTCTAATGGCTAGTGGAGTCACTGGTGTAAGGTCTTATTGCTAGTGGAGTCACTGTTGTAATGTCTTATACTAGTGGAGTCACTAGTGTAAGGTCTTATGCTAGTGGAGTCACTGGTGTAGAGTCTTATGCTAGTGGAGTCACTGGTGTAAGGTCTTATGCTAGTGGAGTCACTGGTGTAAGATATGGCTAGTGGAGTCACTGGTGTAAGATCTTTTACTTGTTGAATTACTAAAATACAGTCAACTTGCTAGAAGAAAGTATCGGATGTAAGGTTTACTTGTTAGTATATTAATTTACATGTATATCTGTTATAACAATCATTACATTGTATTAATCGATGTATTGAATTTTAGGAGCAGATTCTGTACAGGTGGGTTAAGCATCCAGACAGGTCATGCTATAGCTGCCTCCACCCCTTGTCTGTGAGCTCAAGTCTAGCCTGGGAAAATGACGATTAACACACATTAAGAAAAGAGAGAATTTATTCATTTATGTTGTCATGTTTTTATTCTTGGTTTATGTAGCAATACATAATATATTCATAATACATAATACATTCACAATACATGTAATATATAATACATAAATGACAGTCTATGGCAGTAGAAAACTTTGATATTAGATTTATTTGTATAATTGATAGATGGTATTAGATAAGCTAAGAAATTAACATTACTTACTCACAACTGTCTAACGTTGCAATGTAATTCGACTTACGGAGCATTCTAAATAAAGCAGTGTAATACGACCAGTACGCATCATTCTAAATATAGAAGTGTTAGACGATTTACGCACCACTCTAATTATAGCAGTGTAACAAGCACTATCATAAGTTTTACTTCACTGATTCAAGGACTGCTTAAATAAAAAAATCTTCTAGTAAACCAACGTACTCTGTTGATGTTCAATTGTTCATTTTTTGTTTTCAAAAGATAAGACCGTTTTAATCCAGATTTTGACCTTGCTTTGATAGAGCTTTGACCTTGACCGTTTTTTAAAGACTGTAAGCTGCTCATGCTTTGGATATCCGGACCTTTTATGTATGTAAGCAGGCCGTGATTTGTATATCCGGACATTTTATAAATGTAAGCAGTTCGTGATTTAGATATCCGGACCTTTTATGAATGTAAGCAGGCCATGATTTGTATATCCGGACATTTAATGTAAGCAGTTCGTGATTTAGATATTCGGACCTTTTATGAATGTAAGCAGGCCATGATTTGTATATTCGGACATTTAATGAATGTAAGCAGTTCGTGATTTAGATATCCGGACATTTAATGAATGTAAGCAGGCCATGATTTGTATATTCGGACATTTAATGAATGTAAGCAGTTCGTGATTTAGATATCCGGACATTTAATGAATGTAAGCAGTTCGTGATTTAGATATTCGGACCTTTTATGAATGTAAGCAGGCTATGATTTGTATATCCGGACATCTATGAATGTAAGCAGTTCGTGATTTAGATATCCGGACATTTAATGAATGTAAGCAGTTCGTGATTTAGATATTCGGACCTTTTATGAATGTAAGCAGGCCATGATTTGTATATCCGGACATTTAATGTAAGCAGTTCGTGATTTAGATATCCGGACATTTTATGAATGTAAGCAGTTCATGATTTAGATATCCGGTCGGAGAAGACAAAAATTAGGATGTCAGATAGCCGAGATAGTTTGGGGGCCGTTGGGTCAAAGGTGAATAATTATTACAAGATTGCTTATCTTTTGGAAATACATCTTTGTTTTGTTTCCTTAAGTTAAAATGAAATGTTATTTCTGTGAAGTGCTGCCCCAGTTCATGTAAGTGCAATAATCTACAAATAGTTCACATTGAAAACGGCATTATCAATATTTATTTTTGCGTTGGTATTGAAAATCCTAATGGACAATACTTTAAACTATTACTTGATCGGAATCATAGTTGTACAGAGAATTATAGAAATAAACATAAACCATCCTGACTTATGAATGCCGATATTTCTTTAACTTTTTCAAATTTAGAAAATTCATAAACACGTCAACATTAGCTAAACAGATATTGAGAATTGTCCAGCGTAAAGTGTAAACAACAAAAGAGGAGTAATGGCTAAAACATGGCGACCTGCTGTAAAAAGGTCGAAGTAATGGACGTATTGAGTCAGGGACAAGATTGTAACAGATAGAGACACTTGTCAGGGACAATGTTGTAACAGATAGAGACACTTGTCAGGGACAAGGTTGTAACAGATAGAGACGCTAGTCAGGGGCAAGGTTGTAACAGATAGAGACACTTGTCAGGGGCAAGGTTGTAACAGATAGAGACACTTGTCAGAGACAAGGTTGTAACAGATAATTGTCAGGGACAAGATTGTAACAGATAGAGACACTTGTCAGGGACAAGGTTGTAACAGATAGAGACACTTGTCATGGACAAGGTTGTAACAGATAGAGACGCTAGTCAGGGGCAAGGTTGTAACAGATAGAGACACTTGTCAGGGACAAGGTTGTAACAGATAGAGACACTTGTCAGGGACAATGGTTGTAACAGATAGAGACACTTGTCAGGGACAAGATTGTAACAGATAGAGACACTTGTCAGGGACAAGATTGTAACAGATACTTGTCAGAGACAAGGTTGTAACAGATAGAGACACTTGTCAGGGGCAAGGTTGTAACAGATAGAGACACTTGTCAGGACAAGATTGTAACAGATAGAGACACTTGTCATGGACAAGATTGTAACAGATAGAGACACTTGTCAGGGACTAGGTTGTAACAGATACTTGTCAGAGACAAGGTTGTAACAGATAGAGACACTTGTCAGGGGCAAGGTTGTAACAGATAGAGACACTTGTCAGGACAAGGTTGTAACAGATAGAGACACTTGTCAGGGACAAGATTGTAACAGATACTTGTCAGGGACAAGGTTGTAACAGATAGAGACACTTGTCGTCTGTCTGGTTCCCACAGATAAGCCATACTTCTGCTGGGTTCTACAGTCATTGTGTCACAGGCTCTAGCGCAGACGGCTGATCCAACATGGCGACTGTGTATCTGGCTTGTGTTCTGATCTCGGCAGGTCTAGTTCATATGAAATCTGTTGAGAAAAGTAAGAATCAAGTTTAAAAAACGTTTTTACATATTTTACTTTACATCAAAGTTACCCACTGAAATTTGTTGAGAAAAGTAAGAATCAAGTTTAAAAAACGTTTTTACATATTTTACTTTACATCAAAGTTACCCACTGAAATCTGTTGAGAAAAGTAAGAATCAAGTTTAAAAAACGTTTTTACATATTTTACTTTACATCAAAGTTACCCACTGAAATTTGTTGAGAAAAGTAAGAATCAAGTTTAAAAAAAGTTTTTACATATTTTACTTTACATCAAAGTTACCCACTGAAATTTGTTGAGAAAAATAAGAATCAAGTTCAAAAAACTTTTTTAGATACGTTAAAGTAATACATCGTTACGCTTTAGGAAATGTTTGCACCTTCTACAGAAGTTCCCACAGTCAGGTTTTTTGACGTACAGAGACTCAAGTTTTTTTACTTTTTGTCTCTTAATGCTCTTGGACACAAAAACACCTGATATTTTCCACAGGAGAGGTCGCTTGCTACCCGGATGTTGGGTGTTTTGCTAACGAAGGACCTTTTGCTTACTCGCCACAGAGGCCACTTACAGTAGTGCCCGAGTCGCCACAGAAAGTTGGGTAGGTAACTTTTGTTTAGTCGCCACAGAAAGTTGGGTAGGTAACTTTTGTTTAGTCGCCACAGAAAGTTGGGTAGGTAACTTTTGTTTAGTCGCCACAGAAAGTTGGGTAGGTAACTTTTGTTCAGTCGCCACAGAAAGTTCGGTAGGTAACTTTTGTTTAGTCGCCACACAAAGTTGGGTAGGTAACTTTTGTTTAGTCGCCACAGAAAGTTGGGTAGGTAACTTTTGTTTAGTCGCCACAGAAAGTTGGGTAGGTAACTTTTGTTTAGTCGCCACAGGAAGTTGGGTAGGTAACTTTTGTTTAGTCGCCACAGAAAGTTGGGTAGGTAACTTTTGTTTAGTCGCCACAGAAAGTTGGGTAGGTAACTTTTGTTTAGTCGCCACAGAAAGTTGGGTAGGTAACTTTTGTTTAGTCGCCACAGAAAGTTGGGTAGGTAACTTTTGTTTAGTCGCCACAGACAATTTTTCCCTATGTTGTGCAAGTTATTTTTCGCAGTAATTTTCCAAGTAATTAACTACTCTACTCGAGGTTTTTATGCCTTCACATTTAGTTCATTATATTCTGATTTTTCAAGATCTGCACCGATGCAGCTGTTAGCTTTTATGTATGAGTATTAAAATATTAAATTAATGCAATTATGAAAATTTCATTGAGGACAATAACTAAAATGAATACAAAACATTTAAACTCTTCAAAACATGAAAACCCAAGTTGAATTATTTCCCCTGATCAAAAGTCTAGTGAATCTCTAACGAGGGCATACAGGTTACATTGATTACTTTCAAATGCTCGCCGCGTTTTTCTTAAGTTTAAAAAAAATTAATACTTTAATTGTTTTGTAATCGCCGTTACTGATTAAGCAATAAATAAAATTTATATTTAAGCACACTGCTAATTACTCATTACACGAACTTGTCTTTGGCATTGTGGTCACAGTGCAACAAATTTAAATCCTAATTAGGGATCACAAAAAGTTAAACCCTCCTACACCCTCCCGTCCCCTTCCGTAAGATGGCGATCTTATCAACACCTATATCTTTATCTATATATCTATCTATACATATATAGCTGAATTTATGTTTTTTGTCGTTTATGCATTCTATCACAATCAAACTTTGTTGAGTTAATGAGAATACTACAGATTAAGTTTTTGAGAAAAAAAAATCAATGTTTACCCCCAAAGAGGCCCACAATAAAAATAAGGAAATTTTTTAAATTTTTGAGTAAACAAAGGAATTAACCGTGCTTAGACTTTTATGCAAAAAGTATTAACTTAGTTGTTTCCCTTCTTATGTTTTTGATGTTTCCCCAGCACAATCTTCAGGCTGTATTTGATGTTTCCCTAGCACAATCTTCAGGCTGTATTTGATGTTTCCCCAGCACAATCTTCAGGCTGTATTCCCGTGAGTCCAAGCTCAACCCCCAGGTGTTGGACGCCCTCCACTTCACATCAGCTGGCTCAGTATTGACCAACTTCAAGCCCAGAAACACCAAGATTCTCGTCCACGGCTTTCTGGACAGTCCCTTCCTCACCAGCTGGACCAAGGTGGCTGAGTTGTGTCCCTTACTAACTCCTGGGCAGCTATTGTTTTTATAGAACAAGACTTATTTTTACAAGAATTTACATATACCTCACTTGTCCTTTAGAAGCTAAGTCGTAATCCAATTCTGACAGTGAAGTAGTTTTATTTGAAATAGGGGACATTATCAAATAATTGGGCTCAGTTTTAAATTAAAGAAATAAGGTTTAAACCATACATGAAAAATATCTATTATGTTTATTGTTTGTGTTCTTATCTCCAATTTCTAATTAGAATTAATGAGAAATATAAGGATTTGGCCTAACCAAAATTTATGACAGTGAAACATTTTTAGGATTTGACGGCGGCATTGCTGAATCAAGGAGACTACAATGTAATAGTCGTGGACTGGTCCAAGGGCAATCTGTTCCCGTACACCCAAGCTACAGCCAACACAAGGATCGTTGGCGCTCAGATAGGCTTGTTGGTCAACCAGCTGATCGTACGTTGAAGACTAATCCATTCCAAGTCACTAATCACCTCCACGTCACTCACCATTGCTACGTCACTCATCTCCTCCACGTCACTCACCAATGCTGCGAAACTCATCACCTCCACGTCACACATAAATGCTACATCACTCATCAACTTCACGTCACTCACCATTGCTACGTCACTCATCACCTCCACGTCACTCACCATTGCTACGTCACTCATTTCCTCCACGTCACTCACCAATGCTGCGAAACTCATCACTTCCACGTCACACATAAATGCTACATCACTCATCAACTTCACGTCACTCACCATTGCTACGTCACTCATCTCCTCCACGTCACTCACCAATGCTACGTCACTCATCTCCTCCACGTCACCCACCAATGCTACGTCACTCATCAACTTCACGTCACTCACCATTGCTACGTCACTCATCACTCCCACTGAATTGCCACAGAAAACAAAAAATGTGACGGCTGCAGATTTCCACATCATTGGCCACAGTCTGGGCTCCCACATCTCAGGTTACGCTGGTGAGAGGATCCCAGGGCTCGGCAGGATTACAGGTGGGTTCTGTTTACCTCTTTTCATTGGTGTTATCAGGATTACAGGTGGGTTCTGTTTACCTCTTTTCATTGGTGTTATCAGGATTACAGGTGGGTTCTGTTTACCTCTTCTCATTGGTGTTATCAGGATTACAGGTTGGTTCTGTTGACCTCTTTTCATTGGTGTTATCAGGATTACAGGTGGGTTCTGTTTACCTCTTCTCATCGGTGTTATCAGGATTACAGGTGGGTTCTGTTTGCCTCTTTTCATTGGTGTTATTCACATTCTAAATGAGATTATCATTCTAGAAACACAAACTTTACACAGTTTACTTCTTCTCATTGGTGTTATTCACATTCTAAATAAGATGATCATTCTAGAAACACAAACTTTACACTGCTTGCCTACTCTAGTTATTCCCATTCTAAATAAGATGATCATTCTAGAAACACAAACTTTACACTGCTTGCCTACTCTAGTTATTCCCATTCTAAATGAGATGATCATTCTAGAAACACAAACTTTTCACTGCTTGCCTACTCTAGTTATTCCCATTCTAAATGAGATGATTATTCTAGAAACACAAACTTTACACTGATTGCCTACTCTAGTTATTCCCATTCTAAATGAGATGATTATTCTAGAAACACAAACTTTACACTGCTTGCCTACTCTAGTTATTCCCATTCTAAATGAGATGATTATTCTAGAAACACAGACTTGACACTGCTTGCCTACTCTAGTTATTCCCATTCTAAATGAGATGATTATTCTAGAAACACAGACTTGACACTGCTTGCCTACTCTAGTTATTCCCATTCTAAATGAGATGATCATTCTAGAAACACAAACTTTACACTGCTTGCCTACTCTAGTTATTCCCATTCTAAATGAGATCATCATTCTAGAAACACAAACTTTACACTGCTTGCCTACTCTAGTTATTCCCATTCTAAATGAGATGACCATTCTAGAAACACAAACTTTACACTGCTTGCCTACTCTAGTTATTCCCATTCTAAATGAGATGATCATTCTAGAAACACAAACTTTACACTGCTTGCCTACTCTAGTTATTCCCATTCTAAATGAGATGACCATTCTAGAAACACAAACTTGACACTGCTGCCAATAACTGTTTCTTCCTGTAGGTCTGGACCCAGCAGGCCCATACTTTGAGAACACCGACCCAGCTGTCAGACTTGATCCAACTGATGCTGTTTTTGTTGACGCCATGCACACAGATGCCGAGAAACTCATTTATTTAGGTCTGTTGTGGGGGCAGGAGTTCAGTTCATATTGTTTATCATACAATTACCAATGATCCAGCCGTACACCTCATACAAAAAACCGAGTCATTTATTTTAATTAATCCTGTCTACCGTAGACAAAAGCGGGTCGATTTGCCGCTTGTAAATACTTGAAAAACATATCATAGAAATTGCTTTGGTTAAGGGAACGTCATGTTTTGTTTTTTTAGTCCTTCTTTTTTATACGAAAGAAAGTTTTGATACATCAGATTAAAAAAAAAAGTCCTATGTATGGTTGTCCCCCATGTTGTGGGCGTCCCTCTCATGTTCTATCTACAACAGCAAGCCACCTATGATACACCATTGACCAATATCTTGTATTTGCTGCTGCAGGTCTGGGCATGAAGCAGGCAGTGGCTGACATTGACTTCTACCCTAACTCTGGCCACGACCAGCCGGGCTGTACAAGAAACCCTTTCACCAACATCGCCGAGTGGGGTTTGGTGCAAGGTACGAACTGGTTCTTTAAATAGTAGCACTAGATATTGACCATTGTTTTGGTATTCCGCTGACATTATCTTCCTCCTAAACTCCATGCCTACAAAACTTATTTTTTAAATTATCTTTTTTAAAAGTTGTATAAAAAGCGCATGATTTAGTCAGGTTTACGTTAAATAACTAATTATATTTAACTGAATGGAATGAACACAGCTTTTTATACCAGGTACTACTGAAGTAGTTGCTTGCAACCATTTCCGTGCCGTCCATTTCTTCATTGAGAGTGTCAAGTCGGACTGTCCATTCATGGGCTATACTTGTAACAACGAGGATGACTTTGAGGTAGAGTCTAAAATTACAATCGTCTACCTGGTAGACCATTGTAATTTTAACTTTCATTATCATATTTTATAAGACTTGAATAATCCCCGAAACAGTTTTCTTTTTTAATTTGACAAAAAGTTCCCAAACGAATTTGACGGAACGTGTTCAATTATTATTGTTGACATGGATACAAATTGTGTTTGTTGTCAATTTAGCCTCCATAGCGACCTTAAAAAATAATTTAAAAAACTGAAGTCTGGAAAAAATAAAGTCATTTAATATTTTTAGAATCAATATTATAAAATTCGGAATTTCAGTGAACTTAAAAAATATATTTGCTTGCTCTGAATCCCACATTTCAATAATTTTCATCAAGCCTAAATTTTTAATCCGAAGTTTCACATTTCATCAAGCCTTAAATTTTTAATCCTAAGTTTCACATTTTCATCAAGCCTACATTTTTAATCCGAAGTTTCACATTTCATCAAGCCTTAAATTTTTAATCCTAAGTTTCACATTTTCATCAAGTCTAAATTTTTAATCCAAAGTTTCACCTTTTCATGAAGCCTAAATTTTTAATCCAAAGTTTCACATGTTCATCTAACCTAAATTTTTAATCCAAAGTTTCACTTTAGTTATCCTAATATTTATTGGCCTACAGGAACTCGATAAACGCTTTTCTCACTTTGAAGTTAACTGTACTCAAAACTTTACCTGTAAAATAATTTAATAAAAATCTACTTTCTAAACCACATGGCCTAATTATGCCAAGTTTGTTTTAAGTTTGATATTAATAATCACTGAGTTATAGGGGAAACTTTTTAAAATTTGTTTTTTCTAGAACGGCAAATGTAATACATGTGGTACCGCCGGCTGCTCTTTTATGGGTCTACACGCAGACAGGAACATCCCAGCCCGGGGGTCGTACAGAAAAGTTTATCTTCATACAGCCAATCACCAGCCGTTCTGTCGTAAGTTTATCTTCATACAGCCAATCACCAGCCGTTCTGTCGTAAGTTTATCTTCATACAGCCAATCACCAGCCGTTCTGTCGTAAGTTTATCTTCATACAGCCAATCACCAGCCGTTCTGTCGTAAGTTTATCTTCATACAGCCAATCACCAGCCGTTCTGTCGTAAGTTTATCTTCATACAGCCAATCACCAGCCGTTCTGTCGTAAGTTTATCTTCATACAGCCAATCACCAGCCGTTCTGTCGTAAGTTTATCTTCATACAGCCAATCACCAGCCGTTCTGTCGTAAGTTTATCTTCATACAGCCAATCACCAGCCGTTCTATCGTAAGTTTATCTTCATACAGCCAATCACCAGCCGTTCTGTCGTAAGTTTATCTTCATACAGCCAATCACCAGCCGTTCTGTCGTAAGTTTATCTTCATACAGCCAATCACCAGCCGTTCTGTCGTAAGTTTATCTTCATACAGCCAATCACCAGCCGTTCTGTCGTAAGTTTATCTTCATACAGCCAATCACCAGCCGTTCTGTCGTAAGTTTATCTTCATACAGCCAATCACCAGCCGTTCTGTCGTAAGTTTATCTTCATACAGCCAATCACCAGCCGTTCTGTCGTAAGTTTATCTTCATACAGCCAATCACCAGCCGTTCTGTCGTAAGTTTATCTTCATACAGCCAATCACCAGCCGTTCTGTCGTAAGTTTATCTTCATACAACTATCTCGTGTCGTAAGTTTATCTACATACAACCAGCTCGTGTCGAATGTTCCTATAGCTGACACTCTAAAACCTGTCATAGAAAATACGAGCCTGCACACAGCAGATTTTAAAGCCCAACTTTTGTTGTGACAGAATTCCATTTGGACGTGACACTGAAACTACAACCCAATGTTGGACAAACAACAAAAGGCGCTGTTGCTGTTGTCATCAATGGGGACAAAGGGTCGACAAACAGGGTTCAGCTCAATGCAGGGTCAGTAACTATGCTATTATAATTACCAAAAATTAAACAGATGTCCTATTTGGTGAGCTCAGACATAGAGAATTATTAGCCTTAGACATGCATTTAAGTCAGTAGTATCTTTAAATGATAATTTTCGTCTTGAAGATAGTTATCTTGTGATTATTTTAGCGCCATCAACTTTGAACCCGGAAGTGTCCACACGTTTCAGGTGGCAACACCAAATGACATCGGCAACATCCGAAATATAATGGTGATATACATGCACACAGTATCTCTGTTGAATCCACTTGACTGGGACATCCTTGGCTTGACCAGCTCTAAGATTTATCTACAGGAGGTGGACGTCAAGCGGCAGGAAGCGGGCGTTGAGTGAGTTTTATCTTCATTCACTCACCGTTGGTTGAGTTTTATCTTCATTCACTCACCGTCGGTAGAGTTTTATCTTCATTCACTTACCGTAGTTTGAGTGAGTTTTATCTTCATTCACTCACCGTAGGTTGAGTTTTATCTTCATTCACTCACCGTAGATTGAGTGAGTTTTATCTTCATTCACTCACCGTAGGGTGAGTGAGTTTTATCTTAATTCACTCACCGTAGGTTGAGTTTTATCTTCATTCACTCACCGTAGATTGAGTGAGTTTTATCTTCATTCACTCACCGTCTGTTGAGTGAGTTTTATCTTCATTCACTCACCGTAGGTTGAGTTTTATCTTCATTCACTCACCGTAGGTTGAGTGAGTTTTATCTTCATTCACTCACCGTCTGTTGAGTGAGTTTTTTCTTCATTCAATCACCGTCTGTTGAATTTTATCTTCATTCACTCACCGTCGGTTGAGTGAGTTTTATCTTCATTCACTCACCGTAGGTTGAGTTTTATCTTCATTCACTCACCGTAGTTTGAGTGAGTTTTATATTCATTCACTCACCGTCTGTTGAGTGAGTTTTATCTTCACTCACTCACCGTAGGTTGAAGAGTTTTATGTTCATATTTCATCCTTTTACGTTATCAGTTTTGTCACTTTTTTAATTGCCAAAACTAACTTCAAGGTAATTATACCATTCTAAACCAAATGACTGCTCTTACAGATCTCATGTGTGATGTAATTATACCATTCTAAACCAAATGACTTCTCTTACAGATCTCATGTGTGATGTAATTATACCATTCCAAACCAAATGACTTCTCTTACAGATCTCATGTGTGATGTAATTATAACATTCTAAACCAAATGACTTCTCTTACAGATCTCATGTGTGATGTAATTATAACATTCTAAACCAAATGACTTCTCTTACAGATCTCATGTGTGATGTAATTATACCATTCTAAACCAAAATATACATCTCTTACAGATCTCGGGTGTGTGCAGCTGGTAGTGGTGTGGTTGTAGAGTCAGATAAAGCTGTTGTCATCAATAGAGCTTGCTAATCACATGATGCCCTCGACGACAGCTATAAATAAACTTTATATTATACCTTTCTTGTCGTTGTTCAGATTTTTTCCTTTTGGATTAAGTGTGTGTTTGAATTAAAACAAATACATTGCACGCATTTTTCATGTACTATTTATGTTGTATCAATTTACATTGTAACTTTTGAAACCAGTCTCACAACAATTACATCAACCAGTCTCACAACACAAACATCAAACAGTGTCACAACACAAACATCAACCAGTCTCACAACACAAACATCAAACAGTGTCACAATACAAACATCAAAATTTCTCACAACACAAACATCAACCAGTCTCACAACACAAACAACCAAACGGAGGAACAACAGACATTACGCAGGTCAAATACAAGACTGTAAAACCATAATAATTCATACTTTAAGACCCCTGATCACCAACATAATTACCAATGTTACATCTCAATAGTCATCTAAACTCAGCGATAATCCTATTTTTCTCCCACTTTACAGAAAATATAAATCTTTAAAAAAAGTCTAACAATGTGTTTTTACTATTGCCTTTGGCTTTCAACACTTTCAAGACTTTCGATACAGCAACAAGAAGTTTCAGAGAAAGAATGTTCCAAGTCTGATGTTAAACATCCCCGCGTCAGAGAGAAATTTTCCTCTGTAGATCTAAAGTGTCCACTAAAATGTCGACAATAAAAATCTTCAGTGTCAAATTATTGATGAAAAAATTTTTGTTTCTGAAGCGACAAGTACTGTCACATATGATAAGTATACGAATTTTCTTCTTTTCTGTTTGACCACTGGTCAGTGGTATTTGATGTGGATAAAAGTTGTGTAACAATTTTGAAGCAACGGTGGCTACGTAGAAGACACAGACTGTAATGATGAAACTTTTGGAAGGGGATATAAGCGCCATTTGTATTAAAGGACACTAATTCCATTGGCTGTCTTCTTTGAATAATTAGGATTTCACAGCTGCTGTTGAATTGTTTAATTTAGTTCCAACACTGTCAAAAATAAAACTGAATGATAATCATGTGATACAGATTTGTTTCCGGTGTAAACAAACTTGTGTACACTAAGAACGTATTCTGTAATCTGATTTGAATACTACTAGATCTATATATCAGGGTGAGATCAAGTTTAGAAAATTGTTAAACGACACTTTTCACGAGAAGAAAATTCAGGTACAATTTAAATGGATACATTTTGTCATTCCTTTAAACGGATGATCTCTTTATGTTTTAGTGAGCAGGTTTAATAAGTACCTAAAACACCGCTAATTTAAAAAAAAAATAGCACTTTTTGTTATATAGAAATTCTTCGTACTTCTGGAGGCTGGGAAATATGTCAAGATTAATATACACATCTGTTACCATATTAAAACGGATTAAATGCACATTATAACGACAAAAGTCTCTACACGAGAGTGAGTAATCACCGCTTGGGGAAAAAATCACATGACTGGGAGTCAGCATTGTGACGCCAATATTTCTAGTTACCTGACATCTTCGCCTGAAGCCACTAGCAATTTAAACATTAAACTAAATCCGATCTTTCACTAAAATGGTAAAATTGGCCAGAACAAATTGCTAGCTGAAAAATATAATTGAAGTGGTTACCTCGTGGGGCTATTAGTGAACTCCCGCATTATGCGTGTACAGGCGGACATTGACAGGGCACGTGGCCCCACCAGGGGCGGATACAACCCACCCCGGCTCCAATTGCTACGTCACCAATCAACAAGACCTCTCCGGATAGTTTTCATGTCTATTGATTTAAGTTAATGATAAATGAGATTCGATCTGTAATTTTATTTGACACAGTAATCAAAATATAAGTAGTTAAAGTTTATCATGCAATTAAATGTAATGAATTTCTGACAAACAGTCAGCTTTCGTTTGAAAATGTTTATTGATGCAGGGGGGGGGGGGGAGGGGTTATGCAGTGTAAGAAAACCAAATAAATATAAACCGGATCAAATACGGCGTTTGAATGTGAATAGTATGAAGGGTTTCAGCCGCGGAGAATTTGATTCAGTCAATTTTTTTTTCATTAAATTAGCCTTAGGAACTGTGAAGTAAGTTTTTTAAAGTAGAAAAAAGAATAATTCTAAGACAAACTATAAGACACAGCATTTTTAAAAAAAAGTATGTATGCTTATCATTTATGATATAATCCGGGTTCAATTTAGTGGTGCGTCCCTGAGTTCACCCTGCTCTCATGGGAACTCATATTAGGGAAACAAAGGCTGCTGGGCATAGTGCTGACAACTCTATCCCTTTATATGCCAAAGTCTCTGAAGCAGTTGAACTCTACTTCATCTGCTCCATGTATCTTGGGCACGAACGGGATATATATCATAAACATACATACTCTAAAAAATTCTCTGTATTTATTGATGCGATGAGTTTGGAACTCATGCAGTTTGGTTAATAAGCTTTCTAATTAATTAACATCAGTATTTAAAATGTATTTTATGGTCGCACTTTTGATTACAGGACTATAAAAATTATTAGGTCTTTGATAAAAGTTGTTGAAAACTTTTCTGTTGCTGAGTCGTGATGATTTGTGTGAAGAAAAAAAAATAGATTTTTTGACACATAGAAGATAATATGTTTCTGGCTGTGCTTTGTTTTGTAAATTCGCAAAGAAATTGGTAAAAATAAATATTTTAAAAATATTTTATAAAATATCTTTTTTCCCCCCAGATAAACAATACCCAACACTTTGGTTGACACGATGTCATAACATGCATTTTAAATGAAATATCTGAGATAAAATTATAGTTTATAAGAAATAATTTATTGATCAACATATCAAAAATCAAAATATGGAGAGGTTTTTACCTATACAAAATTTGACTGACAGACATTTTCTCGGCAACCAGAGTGACGAGGTTGGAGTAAATGCCAGTGAAGGAGAGGAATCATGGGTGATGTTAAGCGAAGATGGCGCCAAAATGTTTATACTGATCAACCATGTGATCATGAGCAGTGGCCTGTGCCTAGTTGGGATGGGCTCCAATGTCATCAACATGTCCATCTTCCTCAAACAGGGCCTGCGACATTCATCCAACGTCAGTTTTTTTGCCTTGTGCATCTCCGACTTCCTGGGTCTGCTGACCCAACTGTGGCACAACTTTTGTCTGAACCCCTATGTCGACCTCTTGAATCTGCCGGTTGATTTCATGGAGGTCCAGTACTTGACTGCCGGTTGGCCTAACGCCGTGTTGGTCCGGATCACCGGCTACACGACTGTGTACATCACAGCAGAGCGGTGTCTGTCTATCGTGCTGCCGCTCAAGATCAAGCAAATCGTCACGTTCCGTCGTACGTGCGCGGTCATTGTGTTTATATGGGCCATCAACATTGGCTCGCTGCTCCCCTTGTATTTCTCCACATATTTCTCCTGGCACGGTTATCCGGACAAAAACCGGACATTGCTGGGTATAACCTATAAGAGCAACAAGATGGTGATACAGAATTTGTTGTACCAGTTCCAGGCATCCCTCGCTCTCATAGCCTTTGGGTCGGTCATTATCTTCACGAGTATTTTAATCATCAAACTCAAACAGAAATCTGAGTGGCGTAAAAAGTCCACGTTTGACAAAGGTCAGGACGAGCCCATGTCCAAGCGCGAGAAGAACACGGTCCGAATGGTCATCGTGGTGGCCTCGGTTCTCATCGTCTGCTACACCCCTGCTGTCACGTGTTCCATCGTCTCCTCCATTCTGCCGGACTTTACCATTTCCGGTAAACAAGCGAATGTCTTCCACGCCGCGTGGTCGTTCGGCTTCCTGCTGCACTCGTTCAACGCCAGCATCACGCTGGTGCTCTACTACAACATGAGCTCCAAGTACAGGACGACATTCCAGAAAATGTTTCCTGCTTGTGTCAAGCCCGTCCCAGCACAGCAGACCAGGCCACCCCTAGGGCGGGGGGTAACTTCTACCAGCAGTGTACAGGGGGCGTCCTAGTGGGATAGATGTCAAATTAGGACAATTCAACAGAAGTCCTGGTGGGACATTCCAACAGATGCCATATAAGGACATTTCAACAAATTTCATATTTGGATATTTCAACAGATGTCCTAGTGGGACATTACAACAGATGTCCTAGTGGGACATTTCAACAGATGTCCTAGTGGGACATTTCATCAAATGTCATAGTGGGACATTTCAACAGATGTCATATAAGGACATTTCAACAGATTTCATATTAGGACATTTCAACAGATGTCCTAGTGGGACATTTCAACAGATGTCCTAGTGGGACATTTCAACAGATGTCCTAGTGAGACATTTCAACAGATGTCCTAGTGGGACATTTCAACAGATGTCACATTAGGACAGTTCAACAGATGTCATAGTGGGACATTCCAACAGATGTCCTAGTGGGACATTCCAACAGATGTCATATTGGGACATTTCAACAGATGTCATATTAGGACATTTCAACAGATGTCGTAATGGGCCATTTCAACAGATCTCATAGTGGGACATTTAAACAGATGTCGTAATGCGACATTTCAACAGATGTCCTAGTGGGACATTTGAACATATGTCATATTGGGACATTTCAACAGATGTCATATTAGGACATTTCAACAGATGTCGTAATGGGACATTTCAACAGCTGTCATAGTGGGACATTTGAACAGATGTCGTAATGCGACATTTCAACAGATGTCACATCAAGACATTTCAACCAATGTCCTAGTGGGACATTTCAACAGTTGTCACATTAGGACAATTCAACAGATATGTATGACATTCAAACAGATCATATTATGTAAAATTATTTTATAATTTGGTGGTATTTAAGGTTTCTTTTACCCTTTGATTTTATTTTTGTCGATTTTTTTTGACAAGAACATATACAGAAGTATAACATTTATTTCTATTCAAATGTTTATATCTGTGTGTGTGTGTGTGTGTGAGTGTGAGTGTGTGTGTGTGCCTGGGGGGGTGGGAGGTTTGAGTCGAAGTGTACTCATAAAAACGTCATATTCTTGACGTTTGTATGTTGTTAAATTTCCCCTCCAGTATGGCTC